GGAGCTTTATCTGAAATTAGAATCTGAAATCTACAGTTTATAGCTGTAACAAAAAAACCAAACAAAAAAAAAACACCATGAAGATGCTTTAACACAATTATATTTCCAACAAAACTGAAACAAAGTGAAAAAAAGATCTATGTCAAATCATTTACAGAGTACTGCAGAAAAAGACGACATGTAAAATACTGAAAAATGTTTCATTTAGAGCAGAATCAAGACGTTCCCTGCAGCGCATGTTGTTCCTAAACTTTCAGATACAGTTGCTCCTCCCCATGTGTTCTAATGCCCCGCCCCCACAGCACTGAAGGGGGGAGGGAAGCCCTCCTCAGCTGATTATGACACCCCGCCATGTTAGCTATGAGATGTTCCAGTACTGTATAATACTTTTATTTAGTATTATAAATTTATCAGTCTTTTGTTGCCATTTTTATGAAGTTACCACAATCAAAATAAAATAGAATATGTTTCTAAAAACATTTAATATGTTGTCTTTGTTTCACTATATCAAAGACAACATATTAAACTCATATTCACTTTAAATATAATATTTAATTTAAAAAAATGTGGTCCATGTGATATATTTGGTAATTTGTATGTTTTGCTGAATGCAAAACATGAGAAGTTTACATTAAAAAAGCACAACAGTGATTAAAAAAATCAATATTTTATTACAATTAAATATGCCTAATTTCTCCGAGATTCCTTACCTTTCACTATGAACAAAATAAACCACCTTGCATTTTCGATTTGTATTTCTCTTGAGTCTCACTTTTAGAAATGTTAAATTAATATAAGAAATCATTATTGGATATGTTTCTTGACTATAGGATACCAGGTTTCAGTTTATAAAGGGAAATTGTACGCTTAATTAAACTAAAAACTATCAGGGATGTGTGTGGATGAGAGGAAGAGATGAGCCAAACGCAGGACTCATGGTGAGAGTTGGAGTTTATTATAATGAGGGGACGAGCAGAACTTAAGCTGGCTGAACCGAGCTCACACATGCGGAGCAGACAACATCAATGACAAGACGCTGGACCGAGCGAAACTGAGGGTTTAAGTACAGGCTGGGTGATGAGTAATTAGAAACCGGTGAGTGAACAGCTGAACTTAATCTGAGTAAAGACACATGGAAGTAACTGGAACAGCAAAACAGGAAATGAGAACGAGTGACAAAATAAACTGAACATGAACAAAACTGAAAACACTGGGTGAACCACCCAGGAACCCTGACAAAAACACGAGTTTTGAAAGAAATTTTAAATATTTTTCCTGGTTTCAGTGATAAAAATGTATAAGAAACAGTCCAAAAATTCTTATTTGATTTACATTTTACACATGACGCCATTGTTATTTTTGTTTAATCTATCACAATCTACTACAGAAAACATTACAATAGAAAATAATGAAACAGGTCTACAATAATCTTCTGACATATATCAGCTAAAACTGCACTTTATCATAAATATAATGCATCTTCTTGACACCGATTCCTTGTATCTCTAATGAATGCAAAATATGAATTAAAAGAAAATTAGAAAAAGAAAATCAAGAGCAGAAATGATAAAAGTTGAGCTGTAGTATTTAGTGTTTAATGGAGTGAATTTCCATCCATTGTGCAGAAAATGTTTTTATGGTTTGGTTGTGGGGTGACAGCGGCTCTGGTTTCTGGTTCATTTGTAGATGCAGATGAAAAACACTTTGAGAAGTTGTCCGAAACACGCGTCCTCCTTCGTCACGGACAGCTCGTCATGGTAACGCTCTTTCTTGGTCAGTTGAGCTTCTTCTTTAAGTGACTAACAAGCTGGAACAAGAGCTCTGTCAGCACACCTCTGACACCCATTAAGCACTCTTTGCATGGCAGATGGTTTGATGAGGCTCTGGCTCTTTCTCACTGAAAAGCTGAAGTCATCTCAGACCCATAACTACAATAAAATATTTGGAACATCAGGACAGTCGAGCTTTTGTCTTTGTGTTTCATGCTGTCTGCGTAGTTCAGGGTTGTCAAACATAAGGCATGGGGGCCAGAATTGGCCCACCAAAGTCTCTAAGCCACCTCACTGAATGACTTTGAACAATGTGATGGAGGGCACGAGTTTTAACTTCATATTCATGAGTTTTACAGTTTTTCCAGCTGATAAAGAACTCGGCCGCTATTAAGTAATAAAACAAACTGCTATAATATGCTATAGAAAGGTAGTTTTATACCATTTGTCCACATTAAAAATAAAGAAATCTCAAATTTTCTTTGTAATTAACAAAAATTTCAGTTTTATAACTACAGGACTTTTTAGCAAAGTTTTTTTATTTTTTGAACAAAAAACTGAGACTTACTATTGAAATTGCTTTTTTCCCGATATTAAGCTCTGTTAGGGGTTAAATGTGTAATTAAACTTCTTCACAGTTATACGACTGAGTTTGAAATACTTTTAAATCTGCTGACATGTTTCACTTCACTCTGAGCTCTGCTGCACATCCTGATTTCTTTTTACAAACGTTCAGTCCTCACATTTGATCAGAAATATCAGCTCTTTGACATAAAGACAGCTTGGACTTATTTTCAGTTTTCATGCCTGTTAACGTCAGATGTGATGGAGGATAGGAGATGCTGCATGATGTGAACACATCTTGTAAAAAACCTAAATAGAAGTGATTTCTACGACTGTTATCTGCTTTAAACTAACAAGCTGAGCAGATGGAGCAGAAGGTTAATAGCTGATCAGATCATGTCGGCTCATTAGCTTTAGTTTGTTTTACTAAGTGCTGAAACCAGTCAATCAGAAACACACTGTCACTTAATATGTGCTGATGGCAGCGCATCTGTTTGTACACACACACACACACACACACACACACACACGCACGCGCGCACGCACGCACGCACACACGCACGCACGCACACACACATACACACACGCACGCACGCACGCACGCACGCACACACGCACGCACGCACACACACACACGCCATCTCTTCACAGGGCTGTTCATTTCCTGAAACCAAATCTTTCACCTCAGGTTTAATAAATCATATTAATGGTTTGCAGAGTCCCCATAATCCGCAATCACACACAAGTCCCCACAATGTGGGTGAAATAGCAGTGGGCGTGTCCAGGTGGTGCTGGTGGAGTATAAATGGCGAGAAGGCTCTTGGTTCTGCCTCACACAGCTGCTCCTGCCCTACATCTCAGAGTTACCTCCTCCTCTCTGCCTGTGCAGGTGAGTGCTGGCTGTAGGTTTGGTTGTGAGGACAGTGACTGTGATGCTAACGTGAATGTGCTTTTGTGTTCAGCTCTCTCCAGCATGGCAGCGCTCTGGCTCCAGACCTTCTCCCTGCTCGTCTTAATGATGGTTTCGTGGCCGGGCTCCCAGGCCGTCGGTGGGCCACAGCACCTGTGCGGCTCTCACCTGGTGGACGCCCTGTATCTGGTCTGTGGGGACAGAGGCTTCTTCTACAACCCCAGGAGAGATGTGGACCCTCTGCTTGGTGAGACCGCCAACCATGAACAGAAACACTAGACAAGAATTTGAGGGCAGCTTTTCTTTCTCTCAGTTCACTTTAAATCAGCTTTCATGTTGGAAACTGTAATTTTCCATATCTTTATGGACCCTACATGATTAATTTACATCTATTGTCATTTGTCTCAACACCTGCATCATATAATGGCGCTGATTTTGTAACACTTTGTGTTAGAATTAGTAATTTATGTTCTAATATGTTTAAAATGTATTATTTAATATAAATTCCCATAATTTTAGATCTGAACATTCACCTGCTCTTCATCCCATCAGGTTTCCTCCCTCCAAAGGCAGGTGGCGCTGTGGTGCAAGGTGGCGAGAATGAAGTGACCTTCAAAGACCAGATGGAAATGATGGTGAAGCGAGGCATTGTGGAGGAATGCTGCCACAAACCCTGTACCATCTTTGACCTGCAGAACTACTGCAACTGAACACTGCTCTGCTGGACTTTGTTTAGTCGAACCAGGCTCGGCTAATCAGGTCTGAGTCCCAACCCCACCTCCCCCCCTGCTTCAGAGGAGAGCCACAGCTGTCCTCTCTCTGAAAACCAACTGCTGTCAAATGAAGTGCTGAGAAATGGATAAAATTAATTTTCCAAGAAAATAAAAATGCAAAATGTGACGACGTGAGGCAAAAAAGTGTGTTCTTTTGTTGTGATGAATTCAGTTAATTGATTACATTGAAAACTCAAGCATGTTAGGTACCTGCTGCTATCCAGCACAAACTGCTGAGCTTTCACTTTTCAAATATTTGTGTTTAGCTTATAGTGTCACTTCTCTGAACAGGATATAAACACATCATGCACTTGGACATGATGTCCTTTTTCCAACAATCCCTTGTCATCTTTATTTCAGCAGCTCAGTGTCAGTGTTTTTTATTCAGGTCCTCATGATTATACAGTGGGGATGCAAACTACAATGCTCTATTTAGAATTCCCATATACCAGTATTATTTCCTAAATGTTGCCAATAAAAAACTAAATCAGAAGAATTTTAAGCAGTTTTAATTTTAAGTTAACCTCATTTGAAGAAGAGGTCAGAGGTCCAAGTATGGGAATATTTAGAATTCCCATGTTGTCAATTCAAATAATGCCAATAAGAAACATAGTTTGAAATATTTAGCATTATTATCACTTGACTGTCAGCTCAATCTATTGTCTTTGAAGGAATCAAATAAGTTTCAAAATACTACTTAATACTTAAATCAATTGAAAATCATAGAAACTGGGGCCCCACGGCGCATTTTTGCCCCGGGCCTCTGCTGAGTTTGCTCCGCCTGTGTAGGGCGGGACCGGCTCGTGCCGGCAGGGCGGGGTCAGGTGTTCACCTGCCCCGCTGCTTTCAGTCGTTGTTCCGCTGATTCCGTGACGGGGCTGTGGTGTGAGTGAGCCGGGCTCCGGGTTCCATGCTGGCTGCGACGCTGTCGCTCGCTTTCTGAACATCTCTGGACAATTAACTTGAGTTCTGTGGATGCGCAGAGTCCGCAGGCTACTTCCGGTTCTGTGAAAGCCTCAACAAAGCAGCACGATGCGAGATGTTCACCTGAGCAATGAGACGTGCACAAACGGTAAGAAGTCAGAAAGAAGTGTGTGTGTGTGTGTGTGTGTGTGTGTGTGTGTGTGTCACAGTCAGGTGTTTGTTTGTGGAGCAGGAAACGAGTGCAGAGTGCGGGTGCGCTCTGTTTAAAAATGGCTCACAACGATCCGGAAAACTGCTCCTTCTCCTCAGCCTGATGGACAGGGGCGTTTCCACGAGTGTTTGCTCTGTGTGTGAGAGAGACAGCGGGAGAGAGAGATTGACAAATAGTTGATCAAAAATAAATCCAGCGTGTAAACTTGCTGTGGAGCTCAGTTGTAGTTTAGCTGTCATCATCTCTGGTGTTCTGTCACAATTCTGAGGAGCTTGAGAAGAACAGCCACAGACTTGTTGAAGTTTGTTGAAGATTGTTCTCCTCTCTGAGGAGCTTATTCACTTACACTGGGACAGCACTATCATCTGTTATGTAGCAGGTTAATCACGACATCCCAGTGTACCTCAGACCCAGCCACACCCTCAGACCAGAGCTGGTGGTGTATCCTGTAGGGCTGCCACGATTAGTCGACTAGTCACGATTAGTCGACTATCAGAATCGTCGACGACTGATTTAATAGTCGACGCGTCGTTTGAAGCTTTGTAAGATCACAAAAGACGCAGGAATAAGTAGCAGGATTTAAGAGTGTAATAACGGACTGAAACAGAAGATGGCAGCACTGCATGTACAAGGATGCCAGCTGCCGTTAAACCCAGAAGAAGAAGAAGCTGTGTCCCAGAATTCATAGCGCAGCCCAGCGCAGTTTCCAACAATGGCGGCAGTTAGTTAGTTTTAATATTACTCTTATTATTCTTTCTGGGTCACAAAATAAACGTTTAACATATTTTCAGGCCAGAATGTAGCTGTGTAAACCTCAAATATCTGCTCAGTTTATCAGGACACCACATATTTTCAAAAGCGCTCCGACGTTTTCGGAGACGTCTGTTACCCACTAGCTCGATAGCGAGCCGGGGGCTAGGCTAACTAGCGCCGTGAGAACACCGGACTCCCGGCAAATTGTTTTCAAACCCACCGCTGTCTTTCAGTACTCAGGTTAAACATGATATATGAGTCACTTAGATAACTTAAACATGTTATTGTTTGGCTTTTTTAGTATTTTATTTGTTCCTGAGTAAACCGGTGAGTTTATTAAACTTCACCGAAACAATCTGCACATTTAATTAAAATCTAATAAACTACCATCTTGTCTTTATTTTTAGTTAGCACAGACCTTAAACACTTCAAGCTGTAAGCTAGTGATGGTTATATAAGAGCAGATACATGCTGGTGCAATAAGCTGTACGTTTTAAGTACAATGGATGATGATCTGATTAGTCGACTATCAAAATAATCGTTTGTGGCAGCAATAGTATCCTGTGCAGCGCAGCAAGGAGCGCTCAGACCTCTACAGAAACCCAACACTTCATAAACACATGGGAGAACCTAGAAGAGCCACCTCGGCTGTACATCTAAAGGTCAAAGGTCACTCTACGAGGATGTTCACATTTTGGACAGAGAAGACAGGTGGTTTTGAGATGCCTCCCAGACGCCTTAACGCCCACTCACATCCTGGCTCAAGTGTTCTCAATAAGTCACATGACAGAGTGAGGCAAGGTCTCACAATAGTTTCACCTGAAACCTCTGCTGACAATGACCCACACCCATTTTCACACATTGAATCATTTGATGAATCACTCTTAAGGGTCAACTCCCACTCAGGCTTAAGTCCCTGGGACTCTGCTCCATTTGGTTTCAGAACTGAAGAAGCTTCTGGGATGAAGCATCTCCAACAAACTTAAAGAATCTGATCGCTTTTCTTTCCCGGCTCCTTGGATTAGTGACCTGGAGATACTCGGTCACAGATATATTTGAAGGCAATAACTGACATTATCAACACTGCAGGAACACACTTTGTGTGTTAGCTGGGTAATAATCAGCACAGAAACAAGCAGCAGTTGTACTTCTGTTTGTTTTCTATGCTTCAGCTCAGCTTAGTTCCCATCATCATGTTCAGCTTGAGTCATGGAGGCTGCTGTTAATGATTTCCAGCCCGTGCTGAGCTTTTATGATGCAAATCTCAGAAATATGATGGAAGACTGAGCGCACCTGCTCTGATGAACATGAAATTTATGTTCTCATATTTCCTGATGAAACTCTTTGATTATATCTCACAGCAGCTCGGTTTGATCTCGCTGTTTTCACACATTTTTCTGGGCTCTATTCAGATGGATATTATCTTATGATAGATTTTAGATAGTAGATGTTTCCCACTGTGTGGTCTTTTAACATCAGCCCATAAACAGCTGTAGCTGAGGAGAGCAGCTGCTGGACTTTTATGAGTAAATGTTGTCCCGTTCCTGTGTGGTGGAGGAGTCTAGCAGTCCCGGCTCATCGTTGTTACATTTTGGGTTTCGTCATGCTCCAGATGTTGGCGAAAGCGCTGAGCCGTAGGCAGCCCGGTCCAACATCTGGACTCTTCTACTGTGAAGCCATGGGGCTGACAGAGAATCCACACAGCTTCCCAGTAGAAGAGTCCGGACCTTAAAATCCAAGCAGCCGGCTGCTGTTCAGGGATGCTGGCCTGCTCCTGTAATTCAGGCCAAATTAGATAAAAGTTGCTGTTTTGAGGAAGCGCCATAGAAACAGACAGCTTGGCATCATGTAAAAGCATCGTAAGATGGACAATTATTTTGTTTAATTCATGGCCAATAGGGAAATGTGAATGTTCGTGTGGCTTTTAGCTAAATTTCTGCCTTCTTTTTTTTTTCTTTCTTTCCTGAAAATCAGTTCCGTTTTTCCATAATTTGGCCCGAGTGTGTTGTGAGGATTTGACCTTGACGTCCGTGTTTCTCCCTCTCAGTATTTTTGATTTTGTTGTATTTAATTGTCTCTTAATTACATCCTGAGTCTAAAATCCAAACACTGTTTTTCTGCGCTTTCTGTTGATCTGTCCCCTACACTGCTGTGGGGTGTGTTTTATGGTGGCCCGCGTGTACGAGCGCTCACTGTTGACAGTGTAAATATTAAACTGCTCTGCCTGGTTTTACTCGTCCTCTCCGCTGCGTGTTGTTACTGCAGCAGCACAACGGTCGGGTCAGTGTTACACGCCTGCAGCTGCGTCTTCGAACCATACGCCCCGGAGACGCTTCCTGATGTGAATGCTGTTTAAAACAGAGCTCCTGTTGTCCTGTAAGGAGTGCCCGATTATTCACACTATCCATCTGTTTTCTTCTGCTACTGAAAAATCCCCCTGTTTGGTTTTTGCCTTTAAAATGTAATTCATTTAATTTATTAAATTTATTTATGATGAAAACTAATCGATCCAGTGATAGAAACACCCAGGGTCATGTGCTGTCACTGTCTTTCTTTGGGGAGTCATACATTTCTCCACAGCTTCCTGAACACTTCAGCTCAGACACAGCAGCGTCCTCTCTCTGCTGTGTTTTGTCCACCGTCTTGTTTTGTTTGAAACATGCTTTGAGGAGTTCATGTGGAAAATTGAAGTTCAGAGCACACTGCTCTGTATTTATGAGACTCTGTATTTATCCAAGAATTTTACTTTGAAAGTTCAGTCACAGCCGACTAGCTGGTGCTGGAGCGGACTGTCTCATACTGTCCCACCGCTGACGTCTCCGCTGAGTCTTTCACGCAGACAGAGTCAAGCTCTGCCATCTTGGACTGGTGAAAGTCACGCCTGTGTTTTACCCCAGAGCCGTGCAGCTCCCAGAGCTTTGGGAAAGTTGTTTTCAATGTTTGTTAGCAGTGTTTAAATCTTCAAAATAAAACGCATTTGAGTGTCTTTTTAATGATGTCACTGTTGCTAAATTCAGCCTGCCGGACGCTCCTGCTTCAACTACCTTTGGTTAACGAGAGTGCTTCCATGGACGCGGCTGTAATCAGTAAAAAATAAATAATTAGCTGAAACATAAAGGATGTAAAAATGTGTCGCGTTTGTGTCTCTGCAGGGTCGGCGGTGAGGTTGTGGTGTGGCTCTCAGTTCACAGTGTGTTTGGTCACTGGAGAAACGCTGATTAACACACACCTGAGCAATGGCACACAGACAGGTATCCCCCCCCCCCCACACACACACACACACACACACACATTCCTGTGTAAGTGGGCACGAGGAGTTTGTTTAGGGTTAAATATCAGTGTGTTTAAAGATTCGTTGTTGTGTGTTGATGATTGTCAGGCCTCACGTCAGTCTCATCCATCGAGTCTTTCCTCAGAATAATAATCTGATATCTGACACTTTCACATAGTTCTTAGTTGCCCATGACTACAGTGTTGCTGAGTCAGCAGTGCTGTGCCGGAAACCTGAGACAACAGGTAAACAACAGCTGCAGGTTAAATTAGCTGAATGAGGCGCTGATGAGTGGATTTTCCACTCATCAGCCAGTGTTTAAGGGGGGGAGGGGGTCCACAAATAATCTGTTTGTCTAAAGGAGTTAACACACTCTGTGTCGTCGGCCTTTTTCTTTGTGAGAAAAATAAAAATGCACTATTTTCTCATTGTAGCGTTTCCACCTCAGCACTCAGTCTTTTATACGACACGCCTCCTTCACCCAGTCACACTCTGACGAGCACATCGGAGAGAAACTCGGGGTTCACCAGCTTGCTCAAGGATACTTTAGCACGTACAGGACCGAACCACCAACCCAATGATTGGTAGAGCTGCGCCCACCACGGAAATATTATCATTGTCTAGAGTGAATCAGAATCTGTTTAAAAAGGGTAAAGCCTCCATGTTTAGTCATGTTATGTATTTAGCTGTAACGCTGTTAGTTTATGAGTATTAGCAAACATGATAAACTAACAAGCCCAAATAAGTTCAGGTATGAGAATCCTGATTACTGCTGACAGACTTCAGGTTACACACAGACTCGAAGGATGCAGTGGCCAATGCTTGTGCTAATGTTTATATGCACAAGTGTTTCCAAGATGAAAAACCTTTATTGGGAAAGAAAAAAATCATTCTTTATTTGTTGACATTGTGGATGATGTCATTAGAAGTTTCCCCTACAGGAAGCTAATGAGCTGCAACTTTAATGACTGTTTGATTGTGTTGTTGTCTCCATTGTTCTCCGTGTCTCTGGAGACGAGTTCCTGAAACTGTCTTTCCAGGAAGTGATCGGTTCCTCGCACTATCAGGGTTAACTGTGTAGCAGATCAGATGTAACACGAGGAACAAGGAAATGAACTCCACAGGACGTGTGTAACTGTATCTGTCACGTCAGTGTTGGCATCGTGGTAGCCTGACAGGCAGGATGTGTCCAAGCACACCGAAGCACAGTTGAAGATGATGAGCAGACCAAACATGGAGTAGATCAAATAGCAAGAGAGAAGCAGAGAGAGGAAGGTTACTCCACACTTCCTCAGTACAGACAATGGAGGAGGAAGTCGGACGCAGCACAGACTCGTTCAGGTGAACTAAAGCGTGACCATCACCGCTGTGAGCGAGATCAGGTGCACAAGCAGAGGCCACATATGCATATCGGTGGTTGGGGGGTGGGGTGTCTTTCTGTATGTGTGTGTGCGCGGTACAGGTTATTTTTCTAAATGAAACAATAGCATCAGTGTCAGCTCTTCATCTTTGAACATTCAGTCACCTCACAGCTGAAATAGCAACAGCTTTTAGTGACGGTGACCTCCATCAGAGCCAGGCTCAGTGAGCGGGGGGAATGAAGAGCACAGAGATGCAAAACTTACTGACAGAGCGAAGCGCCGTAAAAACACCTGGGGACAAAGAGACAGGAGCGTAGAAGAAATTCCCAGTGCATCATGGGAGGTCCCTTAGCACTCTAAGCCCGCTGCAGCATAACTGGTTTAGGGTTCACGGTCACCTGATTCAGCCCTGCCTATAAAACAATGAAGCCTCAGAGAGTGGAGGGGGTGTCGCCTGAATCCAGACTGGTTCCATGCGAGGGGCCTGACGGCTGAAGGCTCTGCCTCCGTTTCTATAGAAACTTCAGGAACTGTGAGTAAGCGCTGCTCTCTCAGACGGCGGGCTCTGCTCGGATAATATGACTCTGCCAGTCTTAGGAGCTCGTCACATGAGCTGAGGTGTCCTGTTGTGCTCACATGATGGAGTGGGGCAGTGTGTCACAGAGGTCTGATGGGTAAAGTGGGTTAATGACCCCAGGGCCACTTCTTATTGGACAGCCACCACTAGTTTATTAGCTGGAAATTCAAGAGGCTTCCCCACCAGCTGTGGTGCCAGTTTACCTCAGACCTGTATGTGTGGGGCAGCATTTGCGTGGTGTGGTAACGCTGATAAACACACAGTCTGAGGTTCACACACACCCTGATAAACACACACTCAGTGACGTCGTGTTTGTCTCCAGATGTACAGTCAAACAGCACCTACAACCTGTGGCTGGGCCTGACCCTCGCCCTGCTGTCGGCCTTCTTGATTGGTGGGAGTGTCATTCTCAAGAAGAAAGCCCTCCTCCGATTGGCCAACAACGGACACACCAGAGCAGGTGAGCAGAGTCAGGTGTTTCTGATGTTTGACTTATAAGGTTTATCCGGGCTCAGCCCTGATGCTATTAGTATTCATGGCAAGACCACATGTGGATTCATCCAAAATTGAAAATAGTTCCCAGTAAATGCATCGGTCGAGGAGGGAGGGGCAGCTTTGTCTGTTTAATCTTCGAGGTCAATATTATATTTGGAGTGTTTATTGATATTTTAGATGAGACCGTTGACCTTTACCACCACTACAGGAACTCACTCACCTCCCACTCTGAGTCGCTGTTGCTTCCAGTGCTCTTCTCCCTCCTATGTAATGACTTTCTGACTTTCCAGGAAGTGATATCAGTTTCAGGTGCTCTCGGGGTGGATACTACTACTACTACTACTAATAATAATAATAATGGCTGTGCGATATGACCGCTTTTTTTCTTTGTGAGTATTTATTACACGGCGTGCTGCGGGGAAAAGCCTGTTCTAATGTTTGAGTCTAATGTTTACTTTTTAGCACCTGACGGCTCTTTTTTGCTTCTCCTCTGTAAACTCTCTGCATGCTCTTTCACGTGATTATTTTTATTTTGAAAAGTCTCAACAGGATCTTGAGCATTATTGTGAAAGGTTTATGGGGAAAATAAACAAGTGGACACGCGGTAAAACCATCGCGTGTGAAAAAATATTGCCGTAAACAGTTTATTTTGTGACACCACGAAACAAACGATAGCATAAAATGAAACGATAAATGTTTTTATATCGTCATCCGATATATATCGTTATATCAAACAGCCCTAATAATAATAATGATGATGATGATGATAATAATGGATTGCATTTATATAGCCCTTTTCGGGACCTTCAAAGCGCTTTACCATTCATTCACTCTCACATCCACACACTGGTGGAGGCAGCTACAGTTGTGGCCACAGCTGCCCTGGGGCAGACTGACAGAGGCGAGGCTGCCATATCGCGCCATCGGCCCCTCTGGCCATCACCAGTAGGCGGCAGGTGAAGTGTCTTGCCCAAGGACTGTGCAACGACTCATGTATAGCGTGACAGACGAGCTCATGAGTATCACAGATCATGTCTGAATCATCACTCTCAGAGTTTCTGTTATTCCCTCGCTGCTATCTGTGTCACACTGTGGTTGTTTCAGGTCTGCTCGCCGCCACAGTGTTTTAAAAAACACAGAAGGTTCAGGTTCTGTGACTCTGAAAATTCACAAAGTACATGTAGAGTAAATCTGCCAGTAAATTAAATTTTATATACTGGAAAAAAAACGCGTTAAAAGCAAACATGAAGTCTGAGAACGGCATCTGACATCTGCAGGTCTGAGTTTTGGGAACTAAACTCATTTTGGAAGAATCGATGTTCATTAGAATAATTAAGACTGTGGGTTTGGTGGGTTTTCTCTTCTATGAAGAGCTTGCTGATGTTTGTCTCTGAGAGTGAATGAATGTTTGGAGGATGGATCAGGCTAAGGTTTTAAAGCCGCACATTTGTCCTTGAATTTGTTCCATAGCCTGTAAAGGAGGCTCGCTGTGTGGCAGATGGGATTTTTAACAGACTTCCTGTTTACAGCCTCTGGTTTATGGACGTGCTGATGCTTCCTCCCTGAACTGGTTCCAAGATTTTTATATTGCTCCTTACACTGCACCTGCTCTTTTATATGGCATATATAACTTGTACATATCTGTGTAGATACTTGCGTCATTACACACATTCGCTGTTTAGGTATGTATGTACCTACAGACTGAACTTTAAGTTTATTTTTTGGTTTCTCTTATTCTAAAGGAATTTTACTGTAAAAAATCTACATGCTGCTTACGGAGAGATGCCAAACTGTTTCGTTGTTCTTGTGACAATAAAGATCTATTCTATAATTTAGTGATGAAATGTGTTAAAGGTGGAAAAAAAGGAGGAAAACAAAGATTTCCTGACTTGGATGAGCCAGTTTCAGACGTTTCTATGTTTGATATATTTATAGGAAGGTGTGGGGGGACAGATTGTCGACATATTTTTATAGTTTGTAAATTTACTTTAGGACTGGTATCCTAGTCTCTCTCTAAATGCGGATATAATGGTCTCTAAATACAAAGACAAGTTTTGGTTTTCAGGTAAATGAGGTGGAGCATTGTGCTGTGTGTGTTTCTGTAGGTGACGGAGGCCATGGTTACCTGAAGGACTGGCTGTGGTGGGGAGGCCTGTTAACCAGTAAGAGTTTCAGTTCCATCTAATTTTCTGATCCACAGTTCTGTGGCTGGAGTACAAGCACAGCCAACAGCTGTTAGTTTAGGATGTGACATGTATACAAATCTGTCACGAAAGTAAACGGCTACGATATAAATCACAAAAATGTAACATTTTCTGTAAATTCTGTGAATCTCAGGCAGCTCGACTTGCATGTTTTTTTTCCAGCTGGGCGTCGTGTAGCTGCAGTCGAGTGTTTTAACAGATGCATGAAACGATACATTTTTGGACATAAGTTGTAACGGCCGCCGTTTTCTTTCAAAGTTTGAGTCTAAGGTTTATTTTTTAGCACCTGACGGCTCTTTTCTCCTCTGTAAACTCTCTGCATCCTCTTTCACGTGACTCAGTTTATTTTGAAAAGTCTCAACAGGATCTTGAGCTTTATTGTGAAAGGTTTACATGGAAAACAAACAAGCGGACACGCGGAGCAACGCAATGGTTTTACCGTCGTTGTTGCTAACGACGACACGTAAAAGCAGGCGCTTGTCCGTCCGTAGTGTGGTTATTAAATTAAGAGAAAGAGAGAAATGAATATAACCACTACAGTGACCATCAAAACGGTGAAAACATTGCTGTAAACAGTTTATTTTGCGACACCACGAAACAAACGACAGCGTGATAGGAAACGATAAATGTTTTTATATCGTCATCCGATATATATCGTTATATCGAACAGCTTTACTCTGTTCTGTATTTTTCTCTCGTGTGATGGAGCTAAACAGCAGTTCCCTTCAGCTAAACTCATCCTGGATCTTATTCAAATTTCGGTTTATGTTCGAGTGATTAAAAATAGTTCCTATGTTGCTGTCAGCAGTGATTTTCTTTTCCTCTGCAGTGGGAGCAGGAGAAGTCTGCAACTTCGCTGCCTACATGTTTGCTCCGGCCACGCTGGTGACTCCGCTGGGCGCCCTGAGTGTCCTCATCAGGTAGCTCTAGTTTGTAAATTTAAATTCCGTTATGTTTGTGTTTTAAAGCAGCATGTTTGTCCTTGAATTTCCTTCTGTGGCCCGTATCAAGGCTAACGTGAAGTCCTGTGTGCTCTGCAGTGCAGTTCTGTCCTCCTACCTGCTGGGGGAGGTGTTGAACATTGTGGGGAAGCTTGGCTGTCTGCTGTGTGTGCTAGGAAGCATCCTGTTGGTTATCCACGCCCCACAGGAACAGGAAGTGACATCACTACGGGAGATGACCAACAAGCTGCTGGAGCCTGGTGAGAGGGGTCGCTCTACTATCTCAAACTCAGAGCGTTCGGTCGTCGAGCTTCAGTTAGTTCGTTTTTTTAAGGAAACTTTGGTTTAAATCATTGTTTTCAGTTCAGCACTTGACCCCCACAAAGACTCATATGAGGACTGAATTACTTCAGGATGCTGCCTCAAGTGGACATTAGAGAAACTGCAGTTTTTGTATTTTGACGTCTTGGTCAGCCCCAGAGGTCACTGCGTAGCCTTCTGTAAGGCCACAGAGGCGAGCTGGAAGGTTGGACGGCTGAAAATGACAGCCCGGTGATGTCATTTTACCATGATGTCAGCAGTGTTATCTCACTGATCCAGAGTCTAGATGCAGGCACACTGATACAGATGTGAGGCTGGCTTATCGTCATAGTAACACCTGAGCCTCAGCTTTGGTGCAGAGCAACTTTTTATCAGTTCAGATGTGAAGTGAGGAGCAGAAATCCATGTTTCTGTGTCAGAATCTGTTTTCTTATCATCCGTCCTGTGTGTGTGTGCGTGTGCAGGTTTTCTGGTGTATGTGGCGTTGGTGTTGGTGCTGTGTGCGGTGCTCGTGCTGTATTGCTGTCCTCGCTTCGGTCAGTCCAACATCCTCGTCTACATCGGCATCTGCTCGCTGCTCGGCACGTTCACTGTCTCCTCGGTGAAAGGCCTCGCCATCGCCATCAACACAGGTAAGTGAGAGAGAAGCGGGCGTGCCCGTGCTGCAGAGAAAAGCGTTTTTCCTGCTCTGTGAAAGACAATGCTGGTGTTCTGATATTCTGCTTCTTTTCTTTGCATTTTATTTGTTTCCTTTGAGTCACATGGCTCATTCTCAGGAAAATCAATTCAACTTTTTAAAAACCCTCCCTCATCACTGTCTTAAAGATGAATACACAGTATCACGCCTCATACACACATGAACAAGGATGTCTCCAAATTCAGACTTTTTGTTTTTTTCTGGATCTGTATTTGATAGAAAAATATCACTGTTTAAATAAAATGTCTCCTTTGTAAGGCTGCTGCTGTTATTAAATCACGTGTGCGTTCTCTCTTTATCTTCAGTGTTTTATGATCTTTCCGTCCTTGCTAATCCTCTCACCTGGATCCTGTTGGCAACGCTTATCGTCTCCATAGTAACACAGGTAAGTTTCACAGGTCTGTTTGTCTGGCCCTTATCTCTGTTTCTCAGCTGTATTATTGTTTAATGGTAAAGCACGCAGTGATGAATGGCTGGGCTGGAGATGTTTGGGCTTCAGCTGCGTCCTCCCTTTAGATGGATCCCTGTTGATCTGTGTTTCCACAAAACAAACTGTTCATCTGAAAGGACTCTTCAGCATTTGGGCAGAAATCTGTAACTTTTTGGATGAATACACATGAAGTAACTTTCCATCAGATATCAGCTCACATCCAAGGCACAATGCAGGATTTCTAGTGTTTGCATAATGAAAGTGAGTAACAGCTAACAGCGTCATCTCCATAGAAATGTATACATAAAGAAACACCAGCAGAGAAAATGACCCTGAAGTGATCAAACACCCACTGAAGGACACCAAATAACTACACACACAACATAAACACAAGTGAAAAGAACCTAAACATCCACACACACACCCTGTCCATGATATATTGAAAAACAGAAATTTCCCACCCTTCAGTGTGTTCTCAGAGGCATCGCTGACATGTATGGATCCCAGGACAAACATGCTTTATGTTTCTGCCACAGGACTTGTGTGACTTCCCTGTCCTTGTGCCTGTCTCCAGGTAAACTACCTGAACAAGTCTCTGGATATCTTCAACACCCTGCTGGTTTATCCCATCTACTACGTCCTCTTCACCTCCGTGGTTCTATCCACCTCCATCATCCTCTTCCAGGAGTGGAGAAGCATGTCGACCATCGACATCATTACAACTCTGGGATCCTTTGTGGTCATCGTGGTGGGCGTGGCCATGCTGCACCTTTTCAGAGAGCTGCAGGTCGGTGGTCCGTCTGCATTATTGTTAAAATTCCGATCATCTCAGTGAGATTTTGAACAGCTCCTTCTTCAGAGGACCTGTCACACATTGAATACATCCTGCAGCTCTGCTCTGCTTTGATGGCGATGTTCTCACTTTGGAACTGTAATAAAATGTGCATAAAAAGGACTGCAGTGTTGAGTTTGTCAGTGTCAGAAACCTGGCAAACATGGATGGCATACATATATGTGTGCCATATGTTGCATCAACTGAAAAAACATGAAATGGGACCAACTGATTGTTCAGTACATGAAAAACTAACACAGACCCCTCAGTCTGAGTCTTACATCATTAGCGTTCTGTAGCAAATGTTTCGATGCTAAGACTACAAGACATATGACAAGTGTACAAGACGTACAGCTGCAGATCAAGTCCACCCCTGACCTTTGACCTAAGCTGATACCTGCTTCCCTTACAGCCACCTTATTGTCGAGCAGCTAATCTGTGATGACACAAAGCCAATAAACACAACCAGTTCTGGTTTAGTTTGAGCAGGGCACTCCTCCAGTTCTATCCATCGTCACCCACATCAGTGTTAAAGTCTCCTCAGAGATGGAGACCCCAGCATCACACCCAGTGGCTCCAAGAAGACTATCAACATCCCAGAAACAGTTCTAGCCAGTTTGCCACTAATTAGTGAGGTTCTCCAGATCTTTTTCAGACCCTTCTTTTAGCCAGCAGCTCAGCAAGGCTCATTCTGGGCAGCTACATGAGCACGCCTATGAAACAGGAAGTTGGGGTTCCTGAGTATTCAGATATTTTCTGTTGGTAAACACGTTAGCGAGGCTGATGTTAGCATTTAGATGCAGTAACACTTTTACATGTTTCAGCCTCAAAGGGTTGTTGAGGTCACTCAAATACTTTGTCTTTTGATGCAGATGACGATGAAGGAGCTGACCATTCAGCTCTCACAGCCAGTGGAGAGGGAGGAGCTTAACCAGCAGGTTGTAACCAATGGAGGAGGAGGAAGGAGTAAAAAAGAAGACAAGTACGGGCTGATGGACAACATGGTGATCGAGAGCCTTCCCCCAATGAGAGAGGAGGGACCGAGAGTCTTCATCATCAGCTAAGGAAGAGGAGGAGGAGACTCAGGTTCAGACTTCGCACTGACTGTTACTGTAATGATCTGCACTTTAAAGAACGTTCTAAAACGGCCTCCAGTCTGACGGCGATCCAGCTCACACTAAACTCACTGTTACTCTTCAGATTATCACAAACTTAACGTTTAGATAAATATGAAAGATCATTACTGAAAACAGAAGCTGACTTTTAGTCCATTCCATTCTCTTTGCATTAGCAGAGTCACTTTAAATACAAAGAGCCACAAAATGCAAAAAGATGCAAAACAGCGGCTGAGATACAAAAAGCAGTATAAATACTGCAGACTGCCCACAGACATGTGAAAAGTACTCTGAGCAGCTGTTCTCTGCTGCTTAGTGTTGAGTAAATGAAGGTCAATCAATGAAGTTACTGCATATCAGAAACAATATTTTTCTGAATTTACGGTCAAATTCAGCGTCTGAAAACTTGAATGGTGCCTTTGTGCAGGCGTTACGGTGGGTGTTGTTGTGGTTTTTTGCAGACAAATCCATGAAAAGAGGAAAACCGGCCATCTGTGAGACGCTCCTCGTTTTAAAGCTCAGCGCCCGAGCTGGTCATCGCTTCTCAGGTGTTTATGTTGTGGACGTGTGATCTGACACCGAGCTCTGAATAAGTGATGACACACACAGAGCAGGCTGAAGTGTGGCGTGTGAGAGAATCTGTTTTTATTAAATATGAAACGTTGGGCGTGTCTTCATCAGAAATTATTTACTTGGAGATCAACACACTCAAGGAGATTCTCAGAATCAGAGCTGCTGTTCTGGGAGTTCTGGCCTCTGAGTCTAATCATTTACATTCTGTATTCACAGGAAATTTCTAAATTTGATCCTGATGTCAGATGTTTGTGTGTTTCTGAGTTTCTGTTGCTCCCAAACAAAAAACCTCTTATTGCATCAAGTAAATCATGAGAAACATTTCATCAGAAGCACATAATCCATGTTGTTCACCCGTCTGTGGCTGTGATGCTGCACAAACCACCGTCTCCCCCTCCTGGCTCTGACAGTAATTGCACAAACACTGTTTCTACTTTTTTTTTTTTTTTTTTTTTTTTTTTTTTCCCCTTCTGAGTACCTGGAACTCCGCCCACACACTGATCAGAGAAATATTTTAAAGGGTGAGTAACCGTGGCAATAATACGTCCACATCATTTTATTCACTCTTTTAAAAACTCCATTTTAGACAGTTAAAAATTACACATTTAAAATGTAATGATGATTAATAATAATAATAATAATAATACATTTTATTTAAATAGCGCCTTTCAAAGCACCCAAGGACACTGTACAACAGATAAAAACTGGAAATATACACAATGATAAAAATAGAAGATAAAAGTTAAAACATACAGAAATTTAAGAATAGGCAATTTTAAACAGATGAGTTTTGAGGGTGGACTTAAAAAGAGAGAATGAACTAAACAGATTAAACATCTGCTCACATGTTAAAGCTGTCTGAATGTTTCCACCACTTTTATTTTTTTCTTTTTATCTCCCGTTGTCATCCGGTTGTTCAGTCTGACGTCACTAGCCGTGTCTGGGCCTAAACTCCGCTGCAGGTCCATATATCAAACGATCACTGTGGCATTACTGAGAGTTGAAAACTGTCTAAAGTCTTTCATCTTTAATAAAATGATCAGCGTTCTGCTCTACCAGGTGTAACAATTGAGTTTAACATCCAGGCATCCATGAAAACGGAATTTATGACATTTAACGGAGTTAGAAGTTAGCAGGAAGTTAGCTCGCTAGCTTCTATCTAAATACAATATAGCATGTCCTGACTGCGGGGTTTTGGAAACAAATTAAAATGTACAGCTCTGTTATCACTTCCAACATAAATGAAGACAGAAAACTAAACAGCAGTGACGTTTGTAGGGTTACTGAAGTTGGGCTAGCTGGTATATAATGATGTGCTACGTGACCGCTAGCGACACAGCTATGTTAGCATAATATAAACAAGCTAACTTTTTTTCCACTCGATAAAAGTTAATGTGAGTGTTCTCGGTGGTCAGGAACAAATGTAATCGCATGGCAGGATGCTGTAAAAGGACCAAACTTCAGCCAGGAGAACAACTGAGATAATCCATCCACAATACGAGGTTAGTCATTCATATACTGCTGCATGTGCTGGGCTGTAGTTACATCCTAAGGTTTTAAAAACTGAGCTTAAATAAATGATTAGTGGTAATAAAAGCCGAGGGAGGTCAGCAGTGATCACTGACTGTTTTAGGAGCTTTTTGAGATCAAATAGAAGAAAATACAAAACATTAAACATGTTAACAACACAAAAGCCATATTAAACGCAGACTACTTTAGGCCCAGAAGTAGGATTCGTCACGTCATCACTTAATGACCGGATTGTTAGTGAGCGGAAGGGTTTCGCTCTTTTGTTTGATGGAAAATTTTCTGACTGAGTGCTGGATCCTGTCAGACTAAAGGCCTCTGAAACCAGAGAGACTTTTGTTGTTTTGTATAAATGTCTTTTTTTAAATATTGAAGTAGAAACAACTCCTAATGTTAGCCGGGTCGCTCCTCTGCAGGGCGACATGTGCTCTCTGGTTTTGAACTCCTCTCTGCTGACGGCTGATGTCAATGAAGCAAACAAACAAGGTGTTTGCGACTGTCACTCAGTGTGTGCTTTAACTTTAACATAGCGCGCTGTCATTCAGTACCCCAGCGTTTAGTTCTCCTCCTGTGGGTTAAACTTCTGAGGTGTCCTTGAATGCCTCGTCACAGGCGTTATGCACACACTGCCTGATGATCCGTGAAGCCCTTGCTGCTGAAGACGTTTCAGCTTGTGATGCTCAGAAGAACAAATATCCAAACGCTCTGAGTGTTCAGGTATATGAACTCTGATAAAGGGACACACCACTGCTTTTATAATCAGGTTTTATTGTTTGTATTTATTGATTGTTTTACTATGAATACACTGTTTTTGTGTTCTCTGAACATTTCAATAAAGAACTGTGACCAAAGGATCGCTTTTTTTTTTTTTTTTTTCCTTCACCATGATGTTAATTTATCATCCAGACTCAGGGTGGGTGAGTTGGTCCTCATGTTGGATCAGAGCTTCAGATTGTGTAAATATAAAAGGAAACGATGCCATTCATGCTCGATGGGCGTGTTTGAGTCCAGCGACCTGCCGTGACATTGTCTCACCAACCACTGGTCATGTTTTGGAGAGTAGATGTGAAGACTGAGACTACTCTCATGTCTGCAGTCTCCCGTTAATAAATGAGCGTCATGTTGGATTAAAGTGAAACTATAGATCGAGGCCGTGAACTCATCATCAAAGGGTTTAACGAGTAAAACATGGCTCAGCTGTACAAAAGTAGATTTAGCATTTGATTAAGTTAGTTTCTGTAACTGTGTCACTTTGGAGAAGCACATGTGGATCCTCTGAAGCTGCAGTCCAATGTTTTTGGACCTGTTATTCAGGAATACAGAGTTTGGAGTGCTGCGTCACTCCTGAGACCACCGTGGACCACCGAAGCTTCAGTGCCATCGCTGAACATCACATGAGCAGGGAACGGATTTCATTTTGTTTTCCTGTGATGTGTCATTAATAACTGTTAAAATTTAAAAATTGCATTTCAGGTCATTTTTTTTAACTAAACTGCAAAAGTTGTTTAACTCAAACCTTTTCCCTACGAAGGCCTGGTTCTCTGAGCAGCAGCACAGTCACCAACACTCACGAGAGATATTCGTGAGTGTTGGATCCCTTTCCATGCCTGTAAATGAAACAGGCCCAGCTTTACTTTAGAATGATTTCTAAAGGACTTTTTTACATTTTCAGTTTGGTTTTACGGGTTAAAACATGTCACATCATTTAATTGTAAAGATCTGCGACACAAAGTTTGTCTTTCAGAAGATAGTTTCCAGATAAGGGGGGCAGCCGTGTTTCAGTGCATGAAGCTAAATCCAGGAGTCGCTGCTAAATGTTACACTGTGTAACTATAACCAGAGAAAACAGCTGAGAGGCTGTTTTTACTTCTTTGAGTGTGATGTGGGGAAAATGTCTTAGACAGTTCGTGGTTAGTGTTGTGCTTTTAAGGTGAAACCATCTACAGCTGCTCTGTAAACTGTTGCAATGGATTTGAAATGAGACGTTGAGTCATTATGAGCACAGAGGGAAGGTAAAGCCTGCTGAGGAAATCTGGGAGGAACCGAGGACAGCAGTACATACACTGGTAAAACATTGCCCCCTAGTGGTGACAGTTATGCAGTGGGTTATAAAAGCATCTTAAGTTCAGCCTCTAAACTCATTTATTTAAATTCATAATATCAGTTCACATGAAGACAAAGTGCCCCTGTGTGTTTTATACTCATCCTTTAATCGCATGATCGATGCTGAATCCATCACCTGGTGTGTAAACAGGCCTCCTCCACATGATGCTGCTCCTGTGGGAAACCCTCAGCGAGGGCGCGGCGGCCAATTATCCCACACCAGGAGGACCACACAGGAAGCCAGCCACCTGCAGTCAGAGGGCTCCTCGCTCGTCCTCGCTGAAGCTGCACAGGAATTTAAATTGCAAAGCATAAGCTCAGATGGTTTATGATGCTGATAGATCAACGTGTGCATGTTTATACAGACAAGAATTTATTATTTAGCAGGATTTCCAAAAATGGATTTTTATTTATAATTTTTTTTTTTGATTTGAGCAATTTTCTTTTTCCAAATAATCACTTTCAGCTGTTTCAAAGGGAAAGTGTCATAGAATTTCTGAGAGTCTATATAATATTATAAATGATAAAACAAATAAATTATAGCAAAAAAAAAAAAAGATTAACAGTTATTACGGGGAAAAAAATGCAAAGAGACAAAATTTTTAAAGCAATAAAATTTAGTTGAACCAGAGAATATTTTTTTAAAAAAAGGAAAATTTAAACAATACATCAAAAAGATTAAATGATCAAAGTTTGTGTAAAAAAAAAAACCCCTCAAAGTTCTTTTTTTTAACCTGTAAAATAACTTTTAGAGTGAAGCTGTTTTAATTGTGCAGGCCTGTGTTAACCTGCTTAACCAGTGTTTTGACTCTTTGTTAAAGTGGGGCTTAATTCTCTCAAGCGTGAAATACATTTATGTGCATCAGCAATGCATACAGCTCTGTTAAAAAAGGTAACGGCACTGAGGCAGGGAAAAGCATGAAATCCCATTAAATAATAATAATGATGAAATATCTGCTGGTTCCTGCTGGGAGATCCACGTGCAACAGGACCAGGACAGCAGAGCGTCCAGAACTCTGGAATGTTTACAAGTCATAAAGTCCTGGCTTCTTTCTGTATTTATTTATTTATTAAATATCATCATGTTAATGTGTCTCAGGGTAGGATTGTGAGGATTTTTTTTTTTTGCCTTTTTTCCATCCATTCCAACCACGTCCACTTGGTGTCGCTGTGGTACAAACTATGAGCCTTAGGCAGGCGGCTGGGAAGAACACAGCAGTGTTTGAGCATTCAAATGAGTTTTAATCACTAAGCCTTTCTGAAATTTCTCTCTCATTCTTACACACACGCACACACACACACACACACACACACACACCTGAGCTGCAGCACTGTTAGAAACACACACTTTAGATTAGTGAGAGCTTGTTTTATCTCCTGCTGCTGCTCGCGGTATTCAGAAATTGAATAAAGGGAAAATGTGTTTTACCTGGATTCACCTCATCACTGAACGCTGACCTGAATATTCAGGAGCCTCCCCGAGAAGCCTTTTGTCTGCTCCACAGTAAATGTTGGAAATGTTTTGTGGCTCTGAATTCATCACATCTGCATGAAGAGTTGGCGGGAACTGTACATCACTGATGATCACGACACAAACTATTACAGTTTTTTCTGAATGCTTAAACCCTAACTGTGATTCCTGTAGCACAATCTCTAAAACTATTCAGACTTATAGCAAAACCACTCACTGAGTTTGCAAAACTAAAAGCACAAAAACTGCTTTGCACTCAGTTTGCAATTTTGTAACACACACTTTGCAAAACTGTAGGCACAATTCACTGCACAACACTCAATTACCAAATTTCCAACACACTCCTAGCAAAAGTATACACATGTATGGCTATCATTAACACTAATCTGCCAACTGTCTGGCACACTTTCACATGTGAAAACTTCTTTAGATAATCAGTTCACTTTGCAATCAGCCTAAGCACTATAATACAGGTAAGCTGTGTGTGCGGAGTACAATGGAGGGAGCAGAAAGA